AGGTGCATTTTTAAACTAAGTAAGATCTAACCTTGCTCAGTTTGAGGGGTTTTATTGGACATGATGCTGCTTAGTGTGGTGTTGGACCAGACGCCATCCTGCTGTGCCAGAACTGAGAGCAGGCAAAGCTGTGTGCTCCCAGTTTCTAACAAAAGGCTGTGTGCCAACTGTAACATAAGATATATTAAGACATAATTACCAACATTTCAGTGAGTGTATGTAATGATAGACAGTAAAGAGTCTAACATAATTGTTTGGACAAGGTTACCATATTACTATTACTATTAAACATTGTACAACTCTTTTAAACATTTGATGTTGTTTTTATAAAGAGAACCAACAGATTAAAACATTCAGGGAATGTGTTTTTTGATTGCTTTCAATGATTGGCTCAACCTAATGCATTCAAATTACTAAACAACTTTTCATTGCTTATCACTGCAAAGATAAATGCCTGGGAAAGCTGACCTTCATGGAGGACTGAAACTCCTCCCATAAGGCACCAGGGACATGCTGGGGCAGTAAAAGCAGCAGCTCCGCACAGCTCCTGTAAACCCAACACAGTTATTTGTTAAAGGCACATTTAGGTCAAGGCTGTACACACATTTACAAAAATTAAGGGTGGCCATACAAGAATAACTATGCACCAAGTGTGAAGCATTAAAGTCAGTGTAAAATAAAGGACAAAGAGGTGTAAATCCACAGCATCGAGACACTTTAATTACATGGATCAATATTGGTGTACGTGTATGTGTTATTAAATAAAGATCAGTACTTAATAATCAATAACAAAAAAGGTTACATCATTGCATTGTATAATTGTTGCCTCGGTTTCTTTTCATTTTTTAGTGTTCACCTAACCACCTTGTGCAAAGCATATTCTGTTGCCCATCCCAAATATGTCGAAGCTCCCCAAGAGGTAGCCTACATTTCTATTCCGATTACCGCCTCAAGGACTTTGCCTTGATCACAAGAGCACACTTTGTGAACAGAGGAGTAGTTTCTCCCTGGATATTGATGCAGAGTGTTTTAATATTTTTATATCCACATTTCTGATCTTTTAAAATATGGATTTGGATGCGTTTTCTTTCATGGTTATTGTCAAATATTGTGCAACTTCTGTGCAGGAGTGCTGTCTTCAAAATGATGAAGCCGGACAAAGAGTAAACTATATAATTGGAACTGCAAAGCAAACTAATATTAAGTATGATATCATTTGCACATCCAAAACCTGTAACCCATACATTGCGACATGAACTTTAGAATACCACAGGAAATACTTAAGGAGAATGCTTTCTCCAACATGCAATTTGAGCATTATGTTTCATCAATATTTAACACATATTACAGGTCAATGACATGCTGAGAGGTGTAATAAAACAAAATACAATTTCCAGAAAGAGTTTCTACTCACAGTGCTAATTTTTCAAGTAGGAGTGGCACGTTTTCACATTCGGAGGAGAGACAGGAGGATGCCTGAGCGAAGCTGAGGATGGCCACAGTGTAGACCTCCAGCAAAGGCAGAGGATCTTCATCAGTTTTCCAACGGCCGACATGTTCCACAAGGACCTGCCAAACATAGGAATACTTACAATTAGATCCAAACTATTGATTAATTGATTGTTTGTTTTTGCCACACCTGTGTATAGCAATACGGGTTAAGAAATGTAAAGACGAACACAATGTGTATAAATTATAAAATCCCAAAACCCAATAAAAATGGGACCAATAAAAAAGTACATCTAATTAGTAATTTAATCATTTTTCATTATTTGTTCATGGTTATTCTTAGGGTTTTTGCAACTACCTAGCAAAGAAAAAACATTTAGAGATATTACCTTTCATACTGGGACATTATGACATACATTTTCAAAATGTTCTGCATTTTCCAAACTCATTAACTAATACCAATAGATCTTACAACGGTATATATATCAATAATGAAATCCATAGTTAGGGTTGTAGCTCTATAAGCTTACTTGTTAGCCCAACTATTTGTGTCCCTTTGTATACTTTCTATAGTTCGGCAGTTGTATAAGTGTAATAACATATAAAGTAGTGAGTCCAGTTGGATAACAATATAAGTTAAGGAAACCATGGTAGTAAAAGACAGACTAAAGGCTTGATAATCATGACAACATCAAAATAAAACATGTTTAGTGAGGAAAAAATATCCCATTCCTCAAAAAAGTAGCAATTTTATATTTAATGTAAACATTGAAAGTCCCTATAAACTTTAAAGTTTGCTTTGATTAATAAAAAAAAAACATCATCTAACTTTCGAGAAAAAAAAAAAAGTAATTCCAAACTATTAACTTTAAGGAAGCAAAAAATGCATTTGTATACTCTTATTATCTACTTGATTACACAATCCAGCAGAGATGTAGACACCTAAAATAACAACGCACCAGTTATGTGTGGCTCAGCAAAAAACAACTTCTTTATCCTCCCTCTTTTCTTTTTTTTTCAAACCCCAGCTCAAATAACGCTTAACCTTCATCAATGAAAACTCCCTCCATTTCTTCCACACAGAAAAACTCTACAGATCCATTTCATCCTGAATGACTCCATTATTCCTGCAGTTTTACTCTTACGAGATAAATCTCCATCATGGCACAAAACTACAGCAGCATGCAGCCCGAGGCTCGTCCCCTTTTACTCAAATAACTTTAAAGTTGCATTCTTTACCGGCGTTGAATGTTGGATAGAAACACACTAATAATCCAAACTATTTTGGTACAATGGCAGTAATTCACAAGGTTATATAAATTAAATGGAGACATCGCATCATATGTTCGTGGTCAGGGCAAATTAATGAGAAGGATGTGTAATGGAGTCAGTGACCACTGCCACACTTTCCCTTTTTAATCACTGTCTCAGCCAGCTGCAGGCAGATCGGTTGCTGTAACATTGACATCCATCTAACATATTTCACTGGTGCTGGCTATACGACTGTAATAAACATCTCCGCTGATGTGGTTAGCTGGATTAATTAGGGCAAAAGGCCTGGGCTAGCACCTTGGAAAAAAATCATTGATCTTTCCGTACAATCAAACAGCTTCAAAAAAGTAACCCATTTTCACACCAAGCTAAAACTTAAGACAACATGCAGCGTTATAACGTTTTAATTGTCTTTTCATAGGGGGACACAACCGTTTAATTCAGTGCATTTCAATGCAATGGCCCTGTAAAATTTCGCTAATGTAGCTACCCGTTTTTTGCACAGCATGACCACTGCACAGGACAGGGGGACCCTGCATACCAGCTAGCAACATTCATCTGCTATTAGCTATCTGGCCTGGAAAATACCAGTAATAGATGCACGGCGCGCACACGTTGGTGTGACTTATCGTCGCATGGATAGTCAGACTTTGCAAAAAGGTTCATGCCATAAACGATCATCATTGAGAGAATGGCTGAAAACCATGGAGGAGTTTTTTTCCCCATCTTGAAATGCCAGGCATAGGCAGCTAGCTCCTTAGCTACATTGTTGTAGCAAACGTAGACGCGCATCCTCGGCCAGGAAGCCAGAGGGGCTGCAGGCTGCCCGGGATGAGCAGCAGGAGGACGGGCTAACCTGGCAAAACTCCTGGCAGAAATGCAGGGAGGCTTCCAGCGGGGACTGCAAACTCTCTTTCAAAGCTGTGGTCAAACCCTGGAACCGCTCTCGGAGCTCCTCGATAGCTTTCCGTGTGTCATATTCCTTCTCTGTCTCCCCCTCCGCCATCTTCACAACAATCACGACCGCGTACGCACAGATGTTACGCTGCCAGACTCGCACACGCACTCGCACGCAGAGGGGGAAGGGTGAGTACAGAGTGTGCTCCACACACACACCCCTGATGTCAACAAAGCATCCATACTGTGGCACAAAATCACACTGCAAACAGAGTGAACGTGAAGTGTTTGCTCATCACCTAATCAGTATGATTGGACTCCTGGATTACCCTGATGCTGTTACCATCCGTGCAAAGACAGGCTACTCGGCCATGACCTCCAAGCACTGAGCAGCATAAGACAAACATAACCTTTTATATTTTCATGAACATTTTAAACAAGCTCCAATACCCCAGGGGCACGGTATTCTCGTGTTTCTTGTCCCTCCTGATCATTCAGATTGCAGGGTCAGCTCGATGCTTCAGTGTGACTGCAGCAGTTAGGGGTCAGTCAGCTGAAAGACTCCCAGTTGAACATCTAGCCTCAAAGGCAACATGTTACTTAGCATGTTATAAGTGACGTAAAAGCATTATGATTATGTTTTTATATTATAAGGGGCATACAATGTTAAAAGGAGTAATGCCACCAAAGCTCTGATTATTGTATAGTAGCCTACTTACTATGATATCTTGAATATTATCCTCAAAATGTAGCTAAATACAATCTTCAAACAAATGGCTGGTTTTACCCATTTCCCAATCTCCATCTACACACTAAAAATTGCTACATTTGATTACTCAACCATTTATAATCTGAAGGTCTAGGGAAGTTTTGATCATATTACCCACTCTTCGTTTGCGCAGGTGTTGTGACATTTTTAAGTTTCAAATTACCATTAATGTACCACTTTTTTCCAGCACATTTTCACAGCTTTCATTTTCTATTTATTAGCTTCTTGACCAATTTTCAGATTTCTCATGTCACAAACCTGTTATCAACCTCAAAGTCATTTTCGTACTTTAACACTGCTACTTGTGTTACTATTCCATTATATTTATTTTGCAGTGTATTGGACCGAAGCAACTCAGCATTTCGTAAAGTACTAAATAGCCCTCAAAACACACAACACAATACCATGCATTTAGAGTAAGACGCATTCATTATAATGCATCATTTTAATTGCTTTTCAATCTACAATGAATCATATACATCTACCAACTAAAATACAGGCATTAGACAGTATTGCTACAAAAACATTATCTGGCAACATATCAACATACATTGTAAAAGTGATACAATTTGTTGCCAAGTTAAGCGCTGCAGAAGGGTCTCCAGGTCCGTCTTCATATCTTGTTATGGTGGCAGGTGCTGCAGTGACACTCTGTATGGTTGAATAGTTTTATATTAACCATGTCTGACTGAAAGAGGCAAAGATGAATAAAAGACACATATGTTATTCTTAACCAATTCCTATCTGTCTACAGCAGTAACTGTGTAGATCAAATTCTCTATTAACAGTGTGAGCAGTTTAAATGTTTGGAAATATTTACAACAGAAAGTTCAAATAAACTGCAACCTAATATAAACCAAACATTAGTAAAAGCAAAATATACACATAATTTAAGTAAGATAACAATATCACAGTTTAAAAATGACTTTATTACAAATGAAATAACAGCTTTCCAATCGATGTGGAACCACTGTTTGTCTGTTATATTATAGCCTACAATATTATCCACAGAATTGCAATTGGGTAGAAGTATAAAGTACATCATTTCATTTATAATTATTTACGATAACACGTACCTAAACCTTTAGGTAAGCCTATATTTAAAGTAGTTCCTTTCCATTACTGATTACATGACCAAATCCTCAGAAATATCCTTAAACCAATCTGAACCTAAAATAAGAAAACAGATCGACCAAAAGAGATTAAACTTGAACTATAACAAAAATATTTAAAGTGGAGATTTTTTTGTTTTATCTGCTTATTCTTTAACAGTTAGTCAGTGCAAGTCTGTTATTTGCTATCACTCATGTCAATCTCACTGTAACCTCTATGCAAAGTGAATATTTAAAGTAAAGTTTGCCTGACAAAGGTTTTGTCTGTTACTGTGCCTTTACCTCTACCTCGTAGCTGCGACTCGCAACACAGCATGTTGACTCGGAGGTGATGTTCTTTGGGATCCTCATGGTCTTCAAGGACCAGAGAGGTGTCGGGTAAGCTCTGGAGAAGCAGCAGCCCACGCACTGGTAGATCGGGCGGTCGCCAGGAAAATAGTTGTTCCTTTTCAGTGCGCACTCTGGACAGGCCACTGGAGAAAGACAATACTATTGATTATGGACAGCTTGTGCTACAGTGTCAGAGACAAGTTGTGCCATTTAAAAATGAACCGTTGGTGTTTGGAGAGGAGGGTACCTAATGCATTTGTACTTAATTATAAAGAAACCTTACTGTTTGGTGAGTCCATGCTGGGGTAAGAATCAGCTACGTAAAGAAGAAAAGACATCAGAAGCAGAGACAATCCAGCTGATTTCACTGACTGCATCGTGGTGGCACAAGTCATCTAAGAGAGACAAAATAAAATCGTGAATCCAAAATCTGTTGATCAAAGCATTAGTAAGTCAGACATAAAGATAGAGCATTACCATGTTGTGAGAAAGTTCCCTCTTCATTGTGTCTCTGTAGAGGATGGCTTTTTACTCAGGACTTTTGCTTCCTTCTTTGTCGTTTTATATCCGTGTCTCTGGCCCCTTCCTGGATTAGGTGGAACCTACCAACCTTATCAATGATCTCACCGACTCACTGGCCACCTTTGGTACCTTGCACATAATCCCTTGAAAGGACAAAATGATCGTGGAAAGTCAAAACATACTTCCATCATCGTTCCATCCTGACTATTGATGCTGCATTTAATCCATGGGGTTTTGTTACTTGGTAACTGCTGATTGTTTTTATTTGTCATAGAAGGGTCAATAGTTTTATGTTTTTTTCTGCTTTAAATCACAAGTTTTCTATTCTTAATATTATTCAGCAGTTGCACCTGACTTTTGATATTTCCCTTGACAATGACAAGATCTGTATTCTACCTTCCATTTTCAAGTAGGCATTCGTACATCCAAAAAGGACTAAAAACTCTGTAAAATGTCACTGAATAGGTGATGCCATATTTTTCTTCAATTAAAGCTTCATTCATTGAACTGCTGCATCCTGGCCAAACATATGAAATAAACGATTTATGAGTTCACTTTGATCTTCATTTCACACAAAAACATATGACATCTAAATATTTTCGTCAGTTCAGTTTTTATCAGTTTATAAATGTGACTAAACTCTTTTAAAACACAGTCATTTATTTTGGATGTATTCTTTTTGTTTCCTTTACATTATGCTCATTTACTTGCATAATCTATTAGTGCCATTGCTTCTTCAAAATTGGAGGAATTGATGGATGGAAAAAGTTATGAACAAATGGAAAGATATCTAATAGTTGCTAAGGAGTATCCATCTGTTCACCCCCAGCATCTGAAATGTCAAGGATGAATATGAATTAGCTTTGTATTTCGTCAGTGTGTTTACTTAAGTACTCGTGTCCTGCGTCCTTGGTTGTGCCGGTGATAAATCCTCGGCCTCTACTCGTAATTCAATAAGTGTCGAAGATGTTTCAAGTCACAGAGATGTTTTAAGGCTGTTTAGTTTGCTTCAATCACAACAATTTAACCTTGTTTTGTACACCCAATAAAATGTGGTACTTATGTCATTCCTGTTGATAAGATTGATAGCAATGGCTGTTACATTGTGTGATCTTGACTTTGTCATATGGGGCAATTTTTACTGACATCAAACTTAATGTCCTGTAAAATTAATGTAGCTGTAACACGTTATTTTAGTACAATGGCCTATTGAACAACACGTGTAAGAATAAAAAGCACGAGTAATATCACATTAATCAAGAGCTGACAACATTTTAATCATACCATATAGTCTTATGTAACATCATACTTGGCTCTTTGCAGCACTGTATAAAATAACTGCTTGAAATCAACTTGGACTCATGAGGAATGAGTTGAGCTGTGTTAGTGTGCTTGAGATACAAGATATTAGATGTTAGGAGATATTGAGAAAAAAAGAGAACCAGCTGAGAAAGAAGGCACAGAAGATTAGTTTGATGTGCAGTTTTCCTCACCCTATATTTGAATAATCACATTGACAGGCTTCACGGCCTCCAGATTTATGAAACAAGAAATGGTGCAAAGTCTTTGTATAGTCAATGATCTGGGTGGCTGAGGACGAGAACCAGAGATGTTGAACTGTGTTATATAAATTGTGTAGCCATATGCTTGAGATAATCTCAAGGGCTCCAGTGTCTACACTCTCACTGTTGCTGTGTTGAGATAGCCCTGGTGACAGAGAGGTTAGCTGGTCATGTCTGTATTCAGCAGGCTCAGTTCAAAGCCAAAGGTTTCTGGATGGCATCAGTGTGTTACTGACACCACACAACAAATTAGGTAATTAGCTGAGACCTGTAGTTTTCTTGGCTATGAAGCTAATGAGAAAATGCATTGTAGCAGTAAATAGAATGATGATTGTAACCCATTCAGCTTGAGCATACTGTAGTTACAATCCTTGCTTATTCCCAAGAATGAAGGCGGCCTAAAAATATTAATTAAATGAATTGCAGGTAAACACACCTTTGCTATAGGTGCAATAAAGGGAGGTATGCAAAATACCGAAATGGATGAACAGATGTTTTGTTAAGTTGTTCAGGAGTCAGACCATTTTTGCTTGGAACTCTCTCTCCACACGGTGGCATGAGAGATCTGTAATATAAGAACACGAATGACCCTTTATCTCATTAAATAGCCATGACATAGTGGATATACTGGTCATCAGAGGCTCTTTTTTACTGTTTATCTCTAACAAAGAAGACATTGTCAGGGATAGACAAACAAAAAGCCATAATGTTTTCCTGTATGGGTTCAAAGGTACATTTCTTAATTTCTTAAACTCAGAAGATTTTAATTGCATGTGCCAAAAGTGAGCAACTAAAACGAATTGAATTAAGTCCAAGAAGCCTTCTTTTCTGATGATCAATTAATATTATGTCAGATTAATATTAATATGAATTCAGAAGCTGGATCTTCTGTTGACTTTTTTTCTTTCAAATATTGTATAGTTCTTGCAGTTAAATTACATTATTATTACATTACATTACATTGCATTTAGCTGACGCTTTTATCCAAAGCGACTTGCAATAAGTGCATTCGACCAGGAAGATACAAACTTGAAGAAAACAGAATCATATAAGTACATCAGGTTTCATAGAGCCAAAACATTTCAAGTGCTACTCAACTGGCTAGCCAGTCCTTTATAAGTGCTTTGTTAGTATATAAGTGCTTAGTTAGTGCTTTTTTTCCCTTTTTTTCTTCATTGTATTGCTCGAAGCGGAGTCGAAAGAGATGAGTTTTCAGTCTGCGCCGCAAGATGTGTAAGCTTTCTGCTGTCCTGATGTCAATGGGGAGCTCATTCCACCATTTTGGAGCCAGGATTTCAAACTGACGTGTTTGCACGTGCTGGGGGTTTCATTTAATTTCATCTCAATCTTTATTTCGAACAGACTAAAAAAATAACAAATACAAAATAACAAATGTGAAAAACAGAATACCGTATTGTTAAAATACAGTATTTATCCACATTCATGATAATATTCATACATTTAAAAAATATTAATATTAATAATAATAATAATAATAAATCATATGTGTCCAAAAGGGAGCAGGAGGAAGCAAATGCTTATTAATTCCCACCCCTTACTTGATCAATGATTGTCCTTTAAATCATTATGAAAGTTATTCCTACTTACATTTACATTCACACATACATATACAATAATTTCTCATCTTCAATCACCTCTCTTCATTCTCATAGTTTTCCAAAAAAGTGTTTCTGTACATCCTTTTAAACTGAATTATGCTTGTGCTTTGTTTTAACTCCTGCTCCAAACAATTCCATGAAGTCACCCCACAGATTGTTATACACTCAAAGAAATAACTCATTGGATTAACTCAATTTTATTGTTGGCAGGTTTTCCATCCAATAAATATATGTGGCACAAACTCAAACTAATGGCATCCATGCAGTATAATGTAAATGAGTTAGTCCAACTCAAATTTTTCAAATAGAGTTTAAGTAAAATGATAACATTACCTTTATGAATTTAAATAACGCTAGTCCACCTAAATCCTATTTAATTAATTGAAAATGAAATAATGAGGTTAAATATAATTTAATAAAAATGTGTTACACATGATAGAAAACATGGTTTAGTTTTTTTTATTTTTAAATTCACATTATTCAAAACAATCCTCCATTCCATTCAATACAGTGTTTTAAAATGAATGAATTCACACTGAAAGATGAAAAACATTTCTGAAAGATAATACCATTTTTAAAATGGCAGAGAAATGGAACTCCTATAATTAACTTACAAATCTCCCTTTGCCAAATACAATGAATACAATATAACAGGGGTATGCACTGCTCTTCTAACAGGACAATAACACATAACATGAAGAGTGCACTGCACCAACATATGGAAATAGTGTTACAGTGTGTTGAAACAAATACAGAAAAGCACAGAACAAATGATTGATATAACGGCTCAATCTGCTCTGATTAGGAAACTCGTGAATAAAATGACAACAATGAACTCATGAGTCACTTCTTTTTCACATTTCAATCGAACAACTTGATCTTCAGACTTTCGATTTTACCATTCAGCTTGTGCCCATCCAGATTCATCACTACCTTCATGAACTCGAAGGTGTGTTTGAGGTTGTCCGGAAAGCTCAAATCTAGGGCATAAATAAGTCCCAATAGCATGACAAACCCCACAATCACGCTGCCCAAGTTGTCCATGACTATATTGCCTTCGATGACAATTCCCACGTCCTCTGGCTGCCCATCCACATCTCTTTGAAGTGTGTATATGCCCATGACTGTGTTTGCCATGTCCCTCTTGGCATCTTCAGAGGCAGTGGCCTGAACAAAGACACAAACATACAACACATGTGTTAACTAAAACCTGAATTACTACATTTTATAGAAGCAGATTTACTTATGTGGCTCTCCTCATTGATCAAAACAGTTTTAGACTAACCCTCTGGTATCACTCAAATGTACTACCCAATCTGGCCACTCAGGATAAAAATGTCCACTTTCAAAAACTTGAATGATAAAATGATATGATAACAATATTATATTTAAATATTTTTCCCCCACACTTTTTGGGAAGTGTGGGGACATTTTTTAAATGGACAATTAGGGTAATTTGTACACAGTGTATTCGAGACCGATTAGAAAAATTGAAATTCCAAAAAGTATCTAGAAAAAACACAAAATCATTATAGCCAAATCTGATGTGAAAAATTACCAATTTGGACAAAAATGTCCTGAGTGATACCAGAGAAGGTTAGGACCTCCAACACAGAACTAAATTAAGCTTGTAAGAAAATGTTTACATAAATAAATTATAAAGATATATTCCTGTATGTTCTGTTTGATTATCAACTTTATCTTATTTATTAATTCAGGTATTAAGTTATTTGTTTACATCCCTACTTAATCATGTAATTTGTTGTTATTCCTGTAGTTAATTATGCATTTACCTACTTATTTTGATATGTATTTGATTATTTATTATTTAATAATTTATTTCCTTGATTTATGTGATTATGTAATTATTCCTTTAACAATTTAGTAATTGCTGCATTCACGTACCTTTTTAAACATGAATCTATTGATTAATATATTTCTGTATTTCAGCATTTATTTATTATTTTATTTATGTATTTATTCAATTATTTATAAGTTCTTACATCAGGGTTTCCCACACATAGACTATACTTGGGCGGGCCGCCCAGGTATATTAACGGCCGCCCAAGTATATTTCGCGACCCATTTAGTTTTTTTTTTTTTTTTTTTAATAATTTTTTTTTTTTATAGTTTTTTTTTTTATTCGTCCGTGACCACGACGCCATCTGCGATCGATTAACTTGTAGACAATGTTCCCTCGCTCCCTTGCTCTGATCTCGCCTCCTTCTGGCCTGTTAAGTGGCCTGCCTCACACAGGGTGACTGGCTGTCCACATGATGTGGCCTGCCGACATGGCCACTGTCATACAGATCATAAATCAAAGCCCTTGATTGGTCTGTGTGTCATTCAAGCTCGGGAGAACCTCAGCTCAGGTGAGGTAAAGGACTCTCTGAGTGTTTAGATAGTTAACTTAGTCTAAGTTCTCAGTGGGTCTCAAACGGTGTGGTCACCATTTATGTAAACACATATTTCCATTTGAGAGGGTAGTGATTGGTCTAATGGATAGTGAGGTGGACTGAAGATCGGAAGGCTGTGAGTTCAAATCCCGCCAGGAACACCACCACTAGTGTGCCCTTGAGTAAGGCACTTAGCCCTTAGTTACTCCAGGGAGAATGTCCCTGTAATCCAGTGGTTCTCAAAGTGGGGGGGCGCGCCCCCCCCAGGGGGGCGCAGAGGCATGACAGGGGGGGCGCGAGAGACCAGGAGGAAAAATGGTTATTAAAAAAAAAAAAAAGATTATAAAATATTCATATTTTGAAAAATTATTGATTCGAAAATAATATGATACAGTACTATTACGTCTGGGTCTCTGTGTTTCATTAAAGCTCGGCTCTGTGTGTGTGTGTGTGTGTGTGTGTGTGTGTGTGTGTGTGTGTGTGTGTGTGTGTGTGTGTGTGTGTGGAACGAGCCATTTTGTGTGCGTGCGTGAGCGAGAGAGAGAGATAGCGCACCGGTACCGGAGATCGTTGATATTAGCTTCTGGTGCTAGCGAGCTACGCTAACGGATATAAGGAGTTTTTTTAACAACAAAGTGGAGGAGAGTCCTCTCCTGTCAGACTGAGAGACTCAGTGAGCTAAAGGACTCTCTCAGTGTTATCTCAGTGGGTCTCAAACGTTTTGGTCACCATTAATGTAAACAATTATTTCCGAGGCACACGTTTATATGATCATTATAGTTATACAAAAATAAGAGAATACATGAAAAACAGCTATGAAATAATATATGACAGTAAAACAAGAATAAAGTTTAAAAGAGTGATTTATAAAATATCCATAAAGAAATAGTAAATCTGTTTACAATTCTGTTTCATCTGGGTGTTGAGAGATGTATCCATAGATCTCTTCATTTTGCTCTCAAAGTGCACCAGATTGATGCTTTCAACTTCAATATTTAAAAATCTTCCCGGGGGAGCATGCCCCCGGACCCCCCTATGTGAGGTCCACACACCACCTATAAAAATAGCACTTTACCCTTGCTTACACCTATATGCCGAGACTTGATATCGAGCCTTCATTGTAACAGTCGCGGGTACATAGTGTATGTGCGTGGGGAGTGTTGCAGTAGAAAATGCCACTGTAGCGACCGGTACATTAATGGGAAACCCTAAATGTTTGAGCACGCTCTATGAAAGGTCAAGCTACCCCACAGCACCCCCAAAAGAAATCTCTGGCGCCGCCACTGAGCCTGACTATTTGTGTTGGGGGGGCCCGACTTTTTTTTTTCTCCAAAGGGGGGGCCTGACCGAAAAAGTTTGAGAACCACTGCTGTAATCGGTCATTATAAGTCGCTTTGGATAAAAGCGTCAGCTAAATGAAATGTAATGTGATTAGTAAAATATGCATGAATAAATAAATAAAAAGTTAACTAGGTGAAAAAAGGTAAGATACACTTTTAAAACTTGTTGAGAGAAAACTAGTCTTTGCTGCTGCCTCAAAGAGGAGCAGGGGGAGAGGATGGAGAGGGGGGAGAGGAGGGAGACAGGAGAGGCTGATTCAGGAGCACAGACACACTCACAACTATAAATGAACCAAAACTAAATTAATAAACAAGTTTCAGTGTTTTTTTCATATTGGAAAAGGTATGTTATTGGTTATGGCCTTGATTTTATGATTATTGAAATGTATACAGTTCTGTTAAATATAGGTGTTTCCATAGATCTAGTCTCTTTATTTTCCCCTCAAAATGCACCAGATTGATGCATTTAACTCCAAAATAAAAAATAAAATCTTACCGGGGGGGGCATGCCCCTGGACCCCCCTAGAGGATTTGAGGTCGACCCCCACTAAAAATCACATGGATAGGTTCCTAAATACATTAATAAATACATTAATTTTTTTAAATAGTAACCCATTTCCATATGTTCATGTGTGGGTAGTAGATTTAAACTATAGGGCTATCATTATGGACCCTGCCTGTACCTGTACCTGTTCGCTCTGCCATTGCGTGAAGGGTCTGCTAACAAGCGACCAACAGAAAGGTTAATGTTGTTGCACGTCACCTCAACCCCCCCCGCTACCACCACCCCCCAAAGTATATTTCAGATCTGTGGGAAACACTGGCAGTTAATGGACCAGCACCAGAGGCATTCCCATACACACAGGCGTTGGAGCTGTTCTGTTGGAGCTGTTCTGTTGGAGCTGTTCTTCATGAAATCCCAGAAGGATTAAGTGCTCTGACAAACAGTGCCATCTTTGCGCAAAAATGATTATACCGGAATGAAAAGTCAATAAATAATGTTGTTAAAACTTTTTTTTTTTTCGCGCACCGAAATTATTTGTATAAATGTATTAATTCACTTTTTTCTATATTTATTTTAACACTTGCCCGATGAAATTACTTCTGTATCTATTTATTATTATTTTTTTATTTCTGTATTTATTCATTCTTACATATATTCATTCCTATATTAATGTATACATTTATTTATTTCTGCATGTATTTATGATATGTGATAAGATATTTAGATGTAAGCAGGGATAGGGTTGTGTGCCATAGAATTTTCTTATTATAAATGTAAGTAATGGTGGTTATAATTGTGGGTAACACTGTTAACCACTACATTGAAAACATATTGTGATAAACATACCTGATACTCCTTAAAAAAAGAGTCTGGATCCTCGTTGAGGTAGATCGCGATGCTTCGCAGGATGCACCCCCTCTTGATGTGGATGTTTTCAAACTAAAGCAGGGGCGATAAATCAAAGACAATTAAGCACAATGCATGTGCAACAGAGCAGGTCTACAAAGTAGAGGGCTGTATCTGTCGTGTGTGTCCCTAAGCAGGACTCCTTACCCCTACATTTCCACAATAAGCTATTGCCTTAAAAACACTATAAAAGCAGACAATTTCTTAAATGTGTTCATATGAGCATGGACAAAAACAATACAGTGAAAAACGAGGTTCTCTGCATTTATACTAACCAAATCTGATATTGCAAGGGCTTCCTTGATTTTGTGGCCCTTTAGTCCTCCTTTGATCTTGAAGATCTTCAAGAGCTTGTCTGAGAAGTGGTCCAGCTGCCACATGAACTTTGATTGAAGTGGTGATGTTGTGATCCTCAAAAACTCCGCATTCACCTTAAAAATATTATTAACAAGCACAATACAACCAATTGTTACTTGTTTATTAGAATCACAACCATGCAAGGATGTAGACATGAATCACAAAGGACAATAATAAAAGACTGTCAACAAATACAAATATTTACTTACTTCACTCTGCTGAAACAGAGCAGGCCATCTGCATTTGAAGTCCCCTATCAAAGGCCTTTGCTCCACAATCTCAAGGCGTCTGTGGGAGAAGGTTTTTTCCATTTTTGCTTTTATCACCACTTCATTGTCACGCTTTTTCAGTTCTGACAATAAGGCAATTCTCTCGTTCTCCAAGCTTTCTGTGGTTTCGCCTTTTGGGTGCAGAGGAATGTAGTTTATTTCAGCTTTTCTTGGTTTTTTTTATGTTTGCTGCAGCTTTGCCTTGGCCTGTTTTCTTGTGCTTTAAGGAGTTCACAAGGATTTCAGGATGTCCAAGACGGCCAAGCTTTGTACGATAGTTTTGCATTTTGTACTTAAGAGACTGTTTCCACCCCAATCTTGGATCCTAGCTGCCCCAAACAAGAGTGGGCCCTCGTCAACGCTGCAGCTACCTCTTCACACTGATAGTCTTTTGGATATTTTGTGAATTTGATCATTTCTTCGGCTAGGCCATCAAGAATGACTCCTTTCAGCTTTAGGCCAGGCTGGAAGTATGTACCAGTTGTCTCAAACTCTGCATTCTGTAGATGAAGCTCAAATTCAGCCTCGTAGGTGAGCTTAGGAACCACAAAAACTGTGGGCCAGGATAACAATTGTGAGGCCTGAGCTTCAGGGGATGGATGCGGGGTTGACGTATACACCATATCATCACTGCAGCATGAGGCTATTGATGATGCAGGGATTAGAGGCTCTGAGCTTCCAGTAATTGAGGTCTTATCAAATGAGTCAACTGTGTACTAAGTGATGGAGGGCTCAATATTTGACAATATAGGAGAGTAAATTACTTTCAGTGTGCTTTTATCCTGAATTTCAGACACTGATGTAAGATTCATGAACTCGTTAAAGTCAACATCCATGTATTGCAGACGGAAGTCCTCTTTCAATTGAAGAGATGTCTTGACAAATGTGTGCAGTTCTTCAACTGTTGCTGGGATTCCCGAATCCAGGGTCAGTTGTCTAGAGTCAGACTGGTCGGCAAAGATGATGCGCAGAAGCGCCCGACCTGCCGTTATGGAACACCTTTTAATCTAGAGCGGAAACAAGGTGAAAGAATAACAAGAAAGAAACACATTAGGATTATATCAAAGATGAACATAAAAATATTTTTACAGTTTAACTGCCCCTTAAATGTGCATGTGTCTGCTGGAAATGTTTTAACAACAAATACCTGCTAGCTAGTTCCAAACTGCAGTGTTTGCACTGCCACATGCATAACCTGAAAAAGAGAAAAAATAGAATTAGCAATTGACACTGAACAACTGACAATGTCACAGATCAGCTTGTGCAAGTATTGTGAAAGTAGCCGTGTACTTACCATAAATAAGAGGTTTCCCCAAGGTGCTTGTTAATGCTGATCAAACTGCAAAAGACAACAAATATATTTTAGAGGTGTGATTAAAATGCTTATATATTTGAATTTTCACAGAAAACACATAATTGCCTAAGATTGCACAACCCAAAAAACGTTTCTGCACAACTCTGGGTGCCTGCTTGTGAGTGAAGTAACCCATACAAGATTCACATATATATTATCTCATTATTTATATTAAATATTTGGCAGTAAAAAACTCAACTCAACTGAACTCCTACAGAAACGAGTGGCTCCGCCTGTCCTCCTCTGCCTGCCTGCACTAAAGCCAGGAGAGAGATGGACAGACCTGCTGAGCTTTATGATAGAAAATGGCAGCCCTTGCGTGCAGGCTCTGCCTCCTATACTGTTACCTCATTCACTTGAATTACTCTTTGCATTTTTTGGTTGAATTTAAACTGAATTTCGGTGTACTGTGTTCAATGACAATAACATTAAATCGAATGTAATATAATCTAATGATCTCCATTATCCATTATCCAATGCTAACCGTATCTAGCAAGCTAGCTAACAAACCAGTTATCTGGCTAGCTAGCTTGCCGCTTTACCTCATGCACTTTAATTACTCTTTGCATTTTTTGGTTGAACTTAAACTGAATTTCGGTGTACTGTGTTCAATGACAATAACGTTAAATCTAATGTAATATAATCTAATGATCTCTACTATCCAGTATTCAATGCTAACCATATCTAGCAAGCTAGCTAGCTTGCTGTTTAGACCCAACTAAAAACGGAGCAAAATATAACACTGTGGTTTCAAATATTCTTGTCGATATTATGAAAAGGCATTACTTGGAAACAGGGAACATTCTAAACTACTAGAAAAAACAAATACTTACCAAATAATAGACTTTCCACCGTCAGTTTCCCCAGTCAGTTTCCACAGTCAGTGTTAGACAAAAGGCGGCAAATGACAGAACGGATGTTGCGCATACGCAAAGGGGGTGTGCAAAGGGGCGGTCCCCAATGAAAACAATTCATTTTGAGTTGCTCTGTCTTAAATACATTTAATAAGTGAATTGATTAATGTAATTTGTGTTACACTAATGAACTATACTTAGGTTTATTTCTTAAATAAAAATATTTAAGTAAAGTGAAACAATTTTTAATGTGTCAAGTCTAAGAAGGGCTTGAGTTGTTTAAAATGTAGATTTCCTCTCAAATTATACCCACCCTCTCTGTCTATGAACAGTGTTTTTAATTTCCTAGGAAGTAGATTATGTCTTGCTCTGTACATGATTTTAACCATGTCCTGGATGTAGGAAGGGCCAGAACCATTCACAGCATGGTATGCAAGTACCAGTGAAGTGGATTCTAGCAGTTACTGGAAGCCAGTGAAGGGAGCGGAAGAGCGGTGTGGTGTGGGAAAATGTAGGAAGGTTGAAGACCAGACAAGCTGCTGCATTCTGGATAAACTGCAGAGGTCGGATGGCACATGCAGGTAGACCAGCCAGGAGGGAGTTGCAGTAATCTAGGCAGGCGTGAGATGACGAGAGCCTGGACCAGAACCTGCGTCGCTTTCTGGGTCAGGAGGGGACGTATCTTCCTGATGTTGTAAAGCGTGTATCTGCAGCAACGGGTTGTAGCAGCGATGTTTGCAGTGAAGGACAGCAACCGCCATCTCACCAGTCATAGCTCACATAATTAACCTCTCCATAAAACAGGGAAAAGTACCCAAAGACTTCAAAATTGCGAGAGTAACCCCCCTGCACAAAAAGGGCAGCAAATTGGACCCAGGCAACTACCGCCCTGTTTCTATACTTACCTCCATCTCGAAAGTCATGGAAAAAATAGTATATGAACAGGTCGAAAAGTACCTCGCGGAAAATAAACTAATCTATGAATTTCAATCTGGCTTTAGAACATCCCACTCCACTGACACATGCCTTCTTTATTTGAGCGACCACATCAAACAAGAGGTGGACGAGGGCAAGTACTGCGGCATGGTGATGCTGGACCTACAAAAGGCTTTCGACACTGTCAATCACCCCATTCTGATTGACAAGCTAAAATCAATTGGTTTTGATAAACTATCGGTGAGCTGGATGCAATCCTACCTGGAGGGGAGAGAACAGATGGTGGAGGTAAATGGTACTCTGTCCCCCCCCCCCTCCCAGTGAGCTGTGGTGGTTACTGTTCCTAATTTATGTAAATGACATGTCATCAGCATGTGACTGCAACTTGTTCCTGTTCGCGGACGACTCAGCCCTGCTGGTCTCTGACAGGAACAGGTTGCAGGTTGAAAAAACCCTCAGCTCCGAGCTCGGCAGAATCTGCACCTGGCTCGCCGATAATAAATTATCATTACACCTGGGTAAAACAGAGTCCATTCTCTTCGGTTCGAAACATAATCTCAGCAAATCCGACGACTTCTCAGTTGCAGTGGGTGACATTATTGTCACAAGTAAGAAGGAAATTACATACCTAGGATCTATTCTTGAGGCAAACCTCTCCTGTGATAAAATGGCATCCAATGTAATAAAAAAAGTCAATCAAAGAACTAGATTCCTATACCGGATCTCCTCTCTGGTAAACAAAAACACCCTGAAAACTCTGGCAGGAGCACTCATTCAAGGGTACTATGACTATGCTTGCACGTCATGGTACCATAGCAACTCCAAGGCGCTAAAAATAAAACTTCAAACATCGCAAAATAAACTGATCAGACTACTGCTTGACCTTTCATCTAGAACCCACCTCACCTCTGCCCACTTTGACAACCTAGGATGGCTTAGAGTAGACGACAGAGTACAGCTACTTGCAATGGGCCTGGTCTACAAGATCCACTACACCTCTATGGTACCCATGTACATGTCAAAATTATTCCCAAAGGTCAAGGAATACCATGATCATAACACCAGAGGGAGCTCCACAAATCATGTGAAACCCAGATTTGGCACAAAAAAGGGGGAATACACGTTTCGCAATTATGCCACATCAAGGTGGAACGCTCTTCCCACAACTGTAAAGGAAAGTAAAACTATACTTACCTTCAAAACCTCTCTTAAAGAGCACCTTCGGGGAAGAGCATTGCAAAACTGGCCCCGGTAATGGTACAAATCTCAACCTGTCGTTCAATGGACAGCTTCCCCCCCACCCCCCCCCCATCTATGTATATACTCGCATTTTAGACTCTGTTACTAACTGTATATCTGTAGACTTGGTATGTCTTAAATGTCCGGTTAGGATGTATTAGAACGAAATCTAAAATGAAAATTGTAAATAAGCAATCTGTATGTAAAAAACCACCTGTATGTAAATTGTAAATAAGCCATCTGTATGTCAAATATGTCTTAAATGATATGATGAATTGGAAATGGGGGACCCTGATGTAAACAAGACGAAAGTCTTTCTCTGGTCTGCATCCCCTTAACAATTGTATGTTTTGAGCTGTACTGTACTGTACCCAATATACAAGCTGTTAATAAACTTTTCAATCAATCAATCAATCAGTTTGTTATCTAGGGTCACACTCAGATTCCTTGCAGTCTGAGTCAGGGAAACAACAGAGGGGCCGATGTTCATTGTTAGGTCAAGAGTGGGACAATCTTTTCCCGGAAGAAAAAGCAGTTCAGTCTTGTCAAGGTTGAGCTTGAGGTGGTGAGCAGACATCCACTGAGAGATGTCTGCTATACCAGGGGTTCCCAAACTTTTGGGGGGGTTGGGGTGCTAGTGGAGCCTCGCAGCGGCGAAACCGTGCCGCGCCACACTATTAAACCGTGCTACGTGCTGCAGTGGAAATGCGCCATAATTGCGCCGCATAAACGCATAGGTGCGCTGCATTTGCGGCTCAGTTGAGGCTCCCTCCGCAAGGTGAGGCCCCACGCAGTCTGCGTGATCTTCCTGTATGGAGGGACCACCTGTATTTTAGTTTGTCTATTTGCGTCTGTAGATTTCTCTTAAATTCACCAAAAGTTAGCATAACGTAACATAAAGTACCGCGACCGCTGTTTGAGGTATCGTTCGAAAGCTCCGTCTCTCCTGCACAATCTCATTGGATCCAAATATGGTAATTTCCTTTGTATCAGCAACCAATCGTGAAAGTACAAAGGGGTCTTAAACCAAAAAACTCAATCTCATTGGCTGGTGTCAATTTCTGACAACGTGATTCGTTCAGATGCGTCACGTGGTGTGCTAAGACACTTCTTGGTTTAGCTTTCGCTGGAAATGTAAAACTCAAAATGGCAAAAGAACAGCGAAAAAAACGTTCAAAGAGAAGACGACAACAATTGTCACTTGCATGAAGCAATGTTAGACAAAACACAAATGATCCCGAACACGAAATACCTTCACGGAGTGCGTCGAGGCGCAAGATGTCATCCAAAGAACAGGAGGGTTTATAGCGCCTCACAGCAATCTTTAACCTGTTAAGCCTTGAGTCTGTTTTTCAGGTCTCAGGCTCGAAAATGACATTCCCAGAACAAATGAGCATATCTTCACTTCTAAAAGGGGTAAATTCATAATCCTTTTTCTCAAAGCAAGGTTACATCTGTGAGTTGGATGTAGAAGTGTCAGAATCAATATAGATGTTTTTATTTTCAAGTAAATTCAGATTGAACATAGGCTAGTAAAAAACCACCCTTGAATGATGGGATAGTAGACTAAAAGCTTTAGGAATCCAAACTATAACATAATAAGTACCCTGTATCAAGATTGATGCAAAACAAGTGAAGTTTGACCTTTTTAGAGAGATTTAGAAGAAAAAAAAACACTTCTGGGGTCATGTGGGGTACATTTTCTATATCTCTGGCCCCCCTCGTTCGATTTTGATGATTGACATCTCTTTTTAACCGTTAGAGCCAATAGAATCGAGGGGAAGTTCCTCAAATCCATCTAGACATTACCCATTGGTGAATGAGTGCTGTGCAGCCAGAATGCCTCGGAACCGGAAGCTGTGATACACTCTGGTGACTATTAGCAGCTAATATAAAATCTCCGATTTGTACATAAAAATGGAATTATGGATTATCAATAATTTGTGACAGAGACATTGGATTAACCTATGGATTAACCTTCAGCCGCGTTGCTATCGTTTTAATGCCATTGAACATGACTTTTGATCAGAATAACAGCTAAAGTGAGACGATCTCCCGTGTTTGCTCCGTAATGCTACGTGTTGTGATGTCTGTGTTTGCTTCCCCTGTTGCGAGTTCTGATCGCTCAGTGATTATACTAATACCTATATAATCTGTGGAATCTCAGCTTTAATCTGATATATTGTATGTGCAGTTACGATAAGTAATAAGGGGTTGAGTTCTGTGCTAAGTGCGTTAGAATTTTCTTCGCTCAGGGGTCATTTAGACGCTTCTTATGAGACTTGTCTTTTGTTTTGATAAAAATGGTTCATATTGTCAGTTAGCTGAGTTTCTTCCCGTTAATCTGGTATGACACATTAATAGGTTTTTAAATATTAAGAAGCCCTGAGACACAGTTTTGTGAGAGAAAAAACCCGCAGCCCCCTCTACCGGGGGCTCTCGGGCTTAACAGAGGTCCCATGCAGTGGCGGCGCTAGGGGGTGGCTACTTGGGCTCAAGCCCCGGATGTTTTCTGAAAAGCCCCGAATGTTTTGTTTTAAAACGTCTCGTGAGTAATGTGCAGTACCGGAGTCCAACAGAGAGACAGCAGCCGCGAGACAGTAGCCTGCGTACTGCGTAGCCTTCCCTGCCCTGAAGAAGAAGTGATCCTTCGTTAGCGTGAAGAGTCTGCTTTATGCGCTCCACAGTAGCCCCGCTGCGAGGCTCCGGCGAGTTCACAGTTCATGAGCATGCTCCACTAGCAAATAAATCGTCAGAAACGCCGACACCTCCTCATCTCCACCGCTCCCATGTTTTATTTTGTGTTGCCATAAATTAGTCTCTCTCCGTTTGTGCGCTAATAATGCTAATGCGAGGAAAATAAAATGACGGCTTCACAAAACTTTTTGGGAGTTTTGCGGGGCGTGGTTTGCAATCCGCCCATCAGAAATGGGAACCTTTTTCTCCCATGAAAGTACCTGCTCTCTAGCAGGGACTGAAAAGGGGGTGAAAAGGTTCTCATGAACTAAGTTCTAGTTCCGGATTTTTTTGGCCTACCTGTCTGTCAGCCTTCCATCTGTGCACAAACTT